ATGGACTATGTGCACGTTAGCATATGCTACTTCCGGCTGCGAAACCGATAGGGGGTGTCTAGTTTCCGGTAGCCTGATGGACGATGTATATTTCTCCAGATGTCTTGAACATTTGCCGAATGTAACAGTCGATTATGTACATCGACTGGCTAATGATTTTTCTCCAGCTCCCCAGAGCAAGAGAGAATGGGTTTAAATATTACATCTCTCAGTATTTGCATAATTTTGAAGGGAACGTTAAGTCACAACAACATCCATGCTCAGACTGATCTCATGAAATTGCGTATGTATGACACTTATCACGTATTTTTGGCATGCTATCAACACGCGTAATCTCTTTTCAGCGTGTTTATGAATGCCGTTGACTTAACGTTATTACTGTATATATATATATATATATATATTGCATATGACCTACCTCAACCCCGTCCCTAAACCTACCCGTCACTCCTACCATCCTAGGAAGAAATATCGCTCCCCAGATATCTACATTTTGTTTTGTTTCGCTCGGACATTTGACAGCGTGTACATACGGTACATACACGTGGAATCACTCGGACACTAATGTTGCCATGCTACGTGCTCAAGCTATGCTATTTGGTAACTGTTATGTTATCTCTCTATTCATTATAAAAGTCGAAATCATGCGTTAGAAAGTGCATTTTCCAGAACAGTTTGTGTTGGCCATTGTTTTGTTTATGATGTTCGGAGGCTATATGAAGAGTTCAGATGCAAAAGCCTCTAAATGCCATTTGAAATTTTCTTCTTTAATGATGATTTTTATCAAACTTGTATATTTAAGTTCAGTGATTTCACTTAAATGGCAATGATAATTACCTATTAATTGTTATTTAAGTGAAATTACTGAACTTAAATATACAAGTTTGATAAAAATCATGATTAAAGAAGAAAATTTCAAATGGCATTTAGAGGCTTTTGCATCTGAACTCTTCATATGTTGTGTAGATCAGTGTTGACAACCACTATACATATCATACAGGGAGTAAAGGTATCCGACGTTGGTTCGTTCGTTATCAAGTTAGGCTGTTTTCACACATATTTCTAAACAGGTCTCCCTTGCAAAATAGGTTCTAACCCCAGGGGCTTCTCCTGGTTAAAGGGTATAATATAATAAATAATTAGTAACCTAAAAACTTCCTTCTAGTTGTCATGGATACGCAACGCTCCATTCTGTGCTTGGGTGCGGTGACAAAAAGCAGATTTAAATATCGTTTACTTTTCACAATGCAGCAGCGCCTGGCTCCACCCAAATATGTGTGAAAACTGTGTTGATTGACTTGACAATGAACAAACGAACATAGTTTTAGACAAATATATTTAGATAGCTAAGCTTTAGATAGCCGGTCCACTGATGTAAACAACGGCAACCGGAACCGAAGTACCCAACATCCGCCCTCAAGCCGGAAGTTAGCATTTTTCTCGTGCACAGAGTCAATTACCCCAAACTTAACATATTGTTCCCTAATACCTACACAGAAGTACACTATAATTACAGAAACGTACACCGTAATTTCAGTGTACTTACACAGTTTTTTGCAGGTCGTAAAATAAAGTGTTACCAAAAATATATATATATATATTAGCAACTTTTCTGTCTCATGACCTTCATCAGGCATGAATATGTATATATATATATATATATATATATATATATATATATTACTTGCAAGAACTTATTGTGTGCGGGAGATCCTTATTGGTAGATTTGTTGACCTACCTATTTGGTCTTTTTATTCCTGCGCACCTATCACCTGCAGGTGTACGATGGCGTTTGTTTATTGACGTTCACAAAAGCCACGCCCCCTAGTTATTGTAACTACACCGTCACACAAATGGTCAAACACGACCAGCACGACAGATTG